TTTTTTTTTTTTTTTTTCTGTACTACAGGGATCGAACCTAGGGGCACTTTACCAATGAGCCATATCCCCAGCCCTTTTTATTTTTAATTTTGAGAAATGGTCTCAGTAAGATGCTTAGGGCCTTGCTAAGTTGCTGAGGCTGGCCTCAAACTTGCAATCCTCCTGCCTCAACCTCCTAAATCGCTGGGATTGCAGTGTGAGCCACCACGCTTGGCTGAAAATTTCCTTAAGGTTAAGAATTTTTTAAAAGGACTTCCCTTGATGCAGAGAATCAGTCGATGTGCACAGACTCAACGTGAAGATGTCAGTTCTTCCCAAATTAATGTCTACATTCAATTCAATTCTGATGGAAACCACCACAGGGTTTTTGGTGGAGTTTATCAAGCAGATTCAGAAAAACAGAGAAAGAGCTAAGTGTGAAGACTGGCTGAGATGCCCCCGCAGGGGCAGAGGGACCCTTGCCCTGCCACCTGGAGGCTTAGGATGGACTCCAGCCAGCGTGATACCTGCTGCCCTGCAGGACACCAGGTACAGAGCCTGGCCAGGCTTGCTCCCAAGTGGATACGGCAGGTGGGCGTGGAGGAAGGAGGGCAGGCCCTTGTGTCCATCTTCAGGGATCAGAGCCTTTTTGCGGGGATTCCTCTTCTGGCTCTTAGAGTCCAGCATCCCAAGCTCCTATTTCACAGTCGATGTCACCAAGGCTCAGAGAGGGCCAGTGACACCCAAGTTCTTCTGGCCCTGATCCGACCAGCCTCCCCAGCCTGTGCCTGAGTCTCTGGCCCCAAGCCACACTGCCTTCACAGTCTCGGGTGGGGTGGGGGCAGGGAGTCTGAGCGCCCCTGGCAGAGAGATGGGGTGGGCGGTGGGGGGAGTAGGAGCACAGACCCGCCGCTGCTGACGAGGAGGGTGGGAACAATCGGGCACTGTCCCTCGCCCCCTCAGCCCCTGGGCTCCCAGCAGCTTTCATCACTGACCTAACCCAGAGGGCAGGGTGCGGGGGGCAGGTCAGAGGTCAGCCCACAGGCCAAGCTGAGCTAGGAATGGAGCCTCCTGGGGGTGGCCGGGGGGACTTTGGGCCCCGTGGAGGCCCGTGTCCACCTCTAGTGAGGGCAGCCGACCAGAGGCAGCCAGTGAGGAGAGAGGAGAGGGCAGCGCTGTGACCAAGGGCCATGAGACCCCGGCTCCCCGGGAAGCTAGGGACGGCTTCGGGAAAGAAGCAAGCAGCCCTCGTCCCCTCCCAG